CACGTGCTTAAATAATGATTATGAATAATTGCCAATTAATAAATTGGCTGTTTTATTATTTTATTATATCATTAACAATGCCTTTAATCTTGTATGAATTTTCAAGTATTTTATTTGGCAAATTGTTAAATACGGCTTGATAAATAAGATTTTTCCACGTTGCAGATAAATCTTGATCTATGTATATCTAATGATGATCTTGACTGTATCTGTGCACTCTATACTCTCATTATGGGGATATATACATATATATATATATTGTTACGTGATTTTTCGATTCACGATCACAAGGCGACTCCGGCTACCGATACAGATAACGTTCCCGCTTTCTGGTTCCCTTAGAGTCACCACCCTGCTCCGAAGTTACGCTCTCGGGTTGATTCGTACAGGTACGCCAATGGTCATGACGTCATTGTCAACGAGAGTACATACAACGAGTGTCCAATGGTTACAGTTTCTCGGCCTTCGGATCAGCTGCACCAGCTCCGGTGAATCTCCCAATTTATTAATTTATCAAGTAATTTCGATTGGATAGTTCAGATTCGTTCAGTTACGTTCTCGATCCTTTGCTCTCTGTCTCTCGCACTGTTTGCCTGACTCTTACCGCGACCCTCTCTACCTCAACCTAGCGGTCGCGCATTTCCGTAACCGTTCGGTTCCCCTTCGTGCATCCAGTTGCGCACGCTGATTTTACGCGTCCCCAAAAATCTACAGGATCCGTTATAGCACTGTCTGATAGGTTCCGTCGGAACTCTCGTTTCGGTGGACTTGGGCCTGTTCCGCCCCAACTCCCAGGTCATACCGGCTCGTCAGTTCCCGGTGAAAAAGGAATCGACTGGCGGCCGCCTGGATGCATGAGCGAAGGGTGGACGGCCGATGGTAACGTTAGGTTGGTTCTCGGATTTTTCGCTATCGGAGTAAGAAAGATACGTTCCAATATTATGTATATGTGCAAATATTTATATGATGCTCTAGCTGCACCTTTCGATATCGCAACAGCATCTTCGCCCAGATTCTACGGGCTGTAATCTGTCTGATATCGAAAAAAGTTTTTTCGATTTTAAAGCGGGATCTTTTATAAGAATTTTTCAGAGTCTTGACACGTGTGCAAATATTTTTTTTTTTTTCATATATGCAAATCTTGGATCGGGAAGGATTTTCTTGACAGCTTGAATTTCAACGAGAGCGGCTTTGTGTTAAGGAGATTATTTTTTGTATCTTAGATCATTTACGTGACGCAGTGGGTGGCTTGTTATCTGCGATCGATCGGGACACTTGGTTAGGATCAATAGGATTTTACGAATAAAGAAAGTTGCGAATCTTAAACTTTTCTGATCTAATCAATATCGATCCCCCGTGACCTCACGTGAAATCAGAGTGTAAGTCCTGACCTTTGACACCGGATGTATCCGTATAAGACCTACGGTTGATCTATACAAATTTTGTCACGTTATAATGAAATTGCCAGTCATATATTTTAATATCAAAAAAAATTAATAAAATCCTTCCTGAAGAGGATTCACCAGGTCCTAAACAGTGCAGTCAGAAAATGCAACTGACACAAAAAAAAAGTGATCCAAAATAGAAAAGTCAAATCTATACGTCATACCCACCTAGACGCACATGTAACATACGGAATCCACTGAACCGTGCATATAGTTCCATAGCAAGAAGAAATGTCTGCCCTTGACAGGGATTCCGGGTAGAGAGAAAAAAAAAGAGAGAAAAGTCAAAGCCCAAGAAAGAAAGTATCATCATGCATGAGACTTCGAAGGGTGTATATGAGAGGTTCGGGTCTGGGCGAAGAATAGGAGGAAGAGGGGAACGAGTGGGAGGAAGAGGAGACGAGGGGAGGTAACAACCCAGATGGATACCGAGAAATAAAATGAAATCGAGAGTGAGTGATTGCTGTTGCATAATCGTGCCGATTAGATCAATCGGTTTGATCCATCGATCCACAAGAAGATCCGATAACCCATCGGCCACGTGATGAACCATCATGGATCGTTCACTTTCGAAACTGCCAGACTAGAAGATGATACGTATTTACCAAGTATGAGCGAACCAATATATATATATATATAGTACCAATACAAGTCATTGAATGACGGTATCTGGTACCTTCACTAATCACTCTTCTCGGACTCTCTTTCTGTACTCAGAAATTGGCTCGCTCTCCTACTATTAGCCTTGAAAGGTCCACGTGACGTTAATTACGTACCAAACAAAGTACAGACGTCGATTTGTCTGATAATTCCACGGTTCGTTCGTCCCTATACCGACTTATCAGTGAGTAATAATGACAGAAAAAAAAAATGAAAAAAAGCAGGACTATCAAAATGCCCAGTAAATTTAACGTGCGCAACGATCATTTTTCTCAAGACCTAACCTCACCTGCGTTCAAATTTTCCCGCGTCAAAATGACCATGGACATTTTTCTTGTTCACGGACCTTCGTTGACTTCCGATTCGCTTATTAACGATTCACAGAGCGCATTCTTTTTTAAAAATTCCTCTTTTTCTTTTTTCTCTTATCACTGTTATCCTTTCTTCTCCTCTTGCCCCCTTTTTTTCCTACGTCTCAGAGTCAATGCCGTCCGCTGTAATTTATGCGTCAGTCCGTCAGTCAGCTTTTCAAGAAGGACCGAGAGCTGCTTCGAATCGTTCGAGATTCCAGGGATCTGACTCGATGATGCAAAACCGACAGACAGGGATGCTGCGGCTCCTGCTCTGCCAGAGATTCTTCTCTCCACTCATCTTCCTCGCCTTTCGTACAGCATATACATATTATACATATATATGCGTGTAATTTCGCCAAAACTGGTTGTGGAGCAAACCCATCAGGTCTACCAACCTGAAGTACGACACCTGCTCTCTCAACCCAGAAAATTCCAATAGCTGTCCGTCCTCTTATCGTTCTCGAAGAATCTTCGATCGACCCTGTTACTCATCCCCGGGCGATGAATAATTTTCGCTATATTTTTTTTGCCCGACTGTTTTTTTTTTTTTTTTTTTCTTGCAAGCGACAAAAGATGCAGCATCGATATACAAGATATCCACTGTTTCCTCGTGGTTTCATTTTTTTTTTGTCCACCAATATTATTATTATTTCCCATCGTCTCCTTTCTCTCTGCAAACTTTCCACGTATTAAATCTTCCGCGTAATATATAGGTCGTACCATATTTTCCAGGTCCCGTATATATATTACCGCGCTACCGTAACACTGATATATCTTCCAGCCAGTGTGTCTCATTATGCAATTCTGAAATCTATAAATTATCCCATTACGAAATAGCCGGCAGCCTGTCCGCCGCCGTCTTCGCCCAAGACTTATGGATCGGAGTGTCCCTCTCGCGTCCCTCTCGCGTCCCTCTGCCACCTCAGTCCTACGGGAGTTCCTTTTTCTCGCGGTGACTCATCCGGACTAGCGTAGATCCGCAAGCGGGAATGACTTGCCGATTCCCGGAACGCCCTGGTATGCTAATTGCGATCCCTACGTAATCGAGTATGTGATACCGTGGCACCAGATGTGTCATATGTATATATACATACAGTATATAAGATTATATATACATAAAGACCATACCTGTCAGCCATGGCAAAGGGCTCTAAGGTAAGCCGACGACGTTTCGCCAGGACCTCGAAGTTCTCTACTGTGAATGTCCAGGAACTTGACCTAAGGGTGCGGTTACATGTATGTGTATACATGTGTAATTAAACAAATTTTATTATCTTTTCCTGGTCGGTCACTGTTTTCGAGGTCAAAGATCATCTTGGTAGATGCTTGGTATCATCTGACGTTTAATTTGTTTATTTATTTATTCATGGTGCATGCATGGGAACTATTCGGTATCGATATACAGGCTTAGGCTCGTAATGATTTATCACGGTTAGATTTGTATTCGTCCAATGACCAAGTTATTCCGTCCAGTCATCGAGCCAACCTGTCGCGCCGATAGCCGTGCAATTATATTTACGATACGGGTCAGGGAATTCAGCGAGTGACTTGAGAATTCGCCTTAATAACGAACGGATTCATAGAGAGATCCATTATTCGTTCAACGACATCCAGCAGGTAGACTTTCCGTGTACAACTTCCGGTTGTTGTTAAACAATGTTATTCAATAATACAATTTTCAAAAAAAATTCGAATCGAATTTTTTTTTTTAATTATTAAAAAAAATCCCTAGCGACACTGTCAGTGGCCGACAATAGGCTTTACATTGACTTTACGATCTTTATGATCTACCCGTCTTCGTAATTAACACTTTGGCGTAGACAATTAACGGTAATACCGCAAAGTGATTGACCGACTATCGATACTCGACGGTTGGCGGGGAGTTTTGAGCTGGTAATACGGTAAGGTGGGAATGCGCCTTTAAGTTATAAGGAAGCGGTGTCGGGAGACGTATAGCGGTATAATACCTGACAATATCTCATATCTTCTTCTGCCCGAGCGCCATCACGCACGTGGGAATAAGAACGCGTTTGGCACGGCTGAAATGTGAAGGTGGCTGGCCTGGGTTACCATTATGACCTCGGAGACCTTACCTGGCTGACCTTAGACCCGGGACATTGGTTCTCGGTATCGATTCTTTTATTTCAATTTATTTTTCGTTCTCGTACTAGACTCTGACGTCACTCTGCATACCAGACGCGTCGGTACCTGTCACGTGACCCAGGGTATGTGACAATACTGCATAAATGACAGATTCTGACAGCGTCGAATATTTCAACTGTTTTAGTACCGATAGTTCTGTGGACAATTTGTGCACGTGGATAGGTAGGTGAGTTCGAGAAATATATATATATATAGGCCTGGTATACGTTGCCGATGACTGGACGTCTGCTGGGAATAATTAGTTCGTCTCTTCTAACGAGCATCGTTTCGTGCCAGTGAAAATTGAAGGGACCGGCAGTGAAGACATACGGGCGTGGAGAAGAGCAGGTTATAATTATCTTGAAGGAAGTATTGGGATGGGTAAATGATTTTGTTGTTGTCATTTTCACAGATGCTTTCATGAGATTCATTTTCTTCTGTGACAATCAGATCTTGGGGTCTTGACTGAGACCGAGTGTGAGGGCTGGTTTATTTGTCTCATTACAATTATCCAGATTGTGTAGGGCTTGAGTGGAGGTTTTGAAAATCGAGCGTGCAGGTAACCGGAGTCGTAAGAGTCTTCCTGAGGTAGTAGGAGGGGCCAATGAAGTCGGTACACATCTTAACCGTGAACGGTCCAGCATCAGTAGTGACTCCTTCTCGGTCGCAGCATCCGAACCGCTCTCACCGTTCTGGTGGTAGATCACAGTAATATTATTAAAAAAAGAAATAGGAATTAAATACCTTAAACAAAATTTCGATCCGGATCAGTGTCTACGAACAATACTAATATTAATAAAGTCTGTTTATTAATTTAAAAAAATTTAAATACGTGATGTGATCTCAAGACGTCTAGGAAAATGGTACTGGAGCAGTTGGGATCATCGGATAATCGAAGAACCGAATGGACCACTGTGAGTTGATCTTAGCCAAGCTTTTTCCATATTGTCCCAGGTCACGGATTGTCATGTACAAGACATCTGGAATATTTATTTAAGACACTCGTGGACGCTTTCAAATTGTCGAAGGTGCATTATCTGATAAAAAAAATTGAATAGTGTTATTTAAAATAGTATAGTCAGTAACTTTATATCTTATTACTACGTAAACACTTGTGTCCTACGATCAGGCTTGTGTCTACCCTGGTAGTATATGTATTTAGTATAGTACCAGTATATACTGTACGGTATAGTCTGTCTTGTTGTTATATGCTATACAGATCCGCTAGAAACTCTGTATGGGAAGCTCCTTGTGTGGTCCCACATAAGGATCCCATGGTAACCAAAGAAGGAAGAAGAGGGTCCTGGGTGACTTCTCTAATATGATTTACGTCCCGCCGATGGCGTCCTTTGTCTAGCTCAAGTGCTCGCAATGGATGCAGGAGGCAGGCCTGATTTTCGCAATATATTACCTACCTCAAAATTAACGCTAACCACCACCACTGCAATAACTCATGCGTCAAGCATGGTGTCTCCTCTCTCTTTCTTTTATCAGAGTCATCCGCCAATCCTCTGGATAAGAGGTACCTGAATGAATGCGTTATAGTAATAAAACAATTTATATTAAAATTTATTTCCTACGTGCACGAAGCACCGTGTGACCAGTAATGCCAATAAAAAGAAAGGTGATTGGGTAAGATTAAAATGTTGGATTTGAAAAAATAATTTCTATAAAACCCAACGTAAACTGATTACCGACCGTTTCCCCATTGCACTGGGTTCAGGTTGGTAACAGAAATGGCAGCATTAGCCAGCAGGGAACAATGCACTTTATTCAAGCACCACTGGCACCTTAAGCAGCAAAGGTACTTGAACCTCTCGGATAAACATATGCTGGTTGCATAGTAAACTTCACATATGTATGCATCTCTACTGCGCTTTACACAGGTAACCGTCATAGCCACGAGCAGCCCAGGACTCTTTATCTTATCGCCTTGGGACGAGCTGCCGTCGAGATAGAGTTTAACTATACGTAGTATAGCTTGGCTGCTTGTTCCTGGAAATTGCTTTGGTCTCTTGCTTCTCGCTCGATCCTCTGCTCCTTCTCTCTCCCTCGTCTCTTCCGACTACCACGAGGCCTAACTGTTCGTTGTAAACCTGCCTTAGGGTACCGCAGGCACAAGCAAGGACTTAATTAAGAAAGAAATCAGGATTTACCCATAGCTCGTTAATTGTTCGCTGATCATTTCTGAACAACAGCGTCAACGATTTCGTAAACCGAAAAATTATGAAAATCGATATTAGGAACATTTTCTCATCCTTTTCGTTCCCGTGCCATTAGCGGCGTTAACGCGTATACGTGGACGGATAAATATTTGACGTCATTGCTCCTGGAAAGAGTTTGTCCCTCTTGTCGGTTTTCTACTGCTAGCCAGGCGTTACTCTTGCCGGCACCAGAAAGCCTAACACGCTTTTGCTCTTAGCTGCAACAACTGTAAGAATATACACTGTGGACAATTAAGGTACGTGGCTCTTGGGGCATAATATATTACTAGGGAATTTATTGGCGCTCTAGGGACAATACGACGTAGAATTATTTCACTAGGTTATTTACGTACCTCGAGTCGAATACACGAAACGGTTGAAGTATCCTTTCCTTCGCATACGATCCTTCCTATCTTTCTTTTGCTTCCTCCCGAGATTCGCTTGACTTTCATCGAACGATCGCCGGGAATCAAAATGGCGGCGTTAAAATCGTAAACGGGGTTAACACCGAAGTCCCTCAAGACCACAGAAAGGTTTCGCCAGGGTATTCCCAACGTGTCAAAGGTTATGCCCGCTCCAGGGAATTAGGTTCTTTCCTCGAAGATTCCTCTCGTTCCGTCATAGTTATTATCATTCGCCTTTCATGCCATCTTATTGCTCCTCTCTTTGGCTAGAAGCAAAACCCATCTTCTTAGGTCGCAAACAAACCATGATTCTTTATCACTGTAATAACTATAATCCCGATCCTCGAGAGGGTGTACCCTCTCTTGTTCTTTCACAGGCTGAAATATATTTACAAGACTCAAAGATGGATCTTACACAGGCCACTACGTAGCTCGGTAATCAGTTGGCGTCGGCTTTACGGTATGCAGTTTGCTCCTTGAATCGTTAACCGATAGATACACCAAGGTACAGTCAATCCCATCAAGCCAAAGACATTATTCCTTTAGATATAGTCCATGCCAGCAAAGCCTTTATGCTCTTCTCTCTCTCTCTCTCTCTCTAAAAAAATATATGCAAAATAATTCCATGAATCCCACTGTCAAGCATTCTAGCTGCATCCACAATTTCAATGCACCTGCAGCAGCTTGGTCTGTCATGCGTTAACGTATTTCTTAATGGGCGCCGATACGCAGGACCTGTACGAGGCAACAGGTTATTGCAAAAGGGCGCAACCGTAGAAGGAAGCTGCGGGACTTTGCACATAAAATATGATGCGTATCTTCTTATTAGGAGTAAACTGTATCCTCATTACTTCAGCTGTCATCTTCCTTTTGTTTTAGCCGTACTGGACTAGCGCCCAGTTCTAGTATAGCGAATTCCCGATCTGCGCATGCGCCGAAGATGCGAACCTCAGACACCTGCACCTACAACCAACCAGAGTCCACGAGTCCGTCTCTCTTATGCATAGAAATTGCACGGGCCATTCCAAGAGAGCCGCTCTCAATGGCTTCTTCCCACGCGGCCATTTAATTTCGAATTGAGAGCACGTCCAATCGGCCTCCTTGGTCTTCATGAAAAATTCTCTCCTGGTCCTTCTTTGTTTTATAGATTTTTTTGTTCTTCTTCTATCTCTAGTCCATGGCTTCCCTCGGGGCAGAATCAAAAAGTTTTCTACATTTATCAATACCTTCCACGCTCCTCGATAGAGGCACCCGATTACAGAGTACAGGAGCCCTTGATACTCCCACGCATATTTAAATTATATTTCGAAATATTTTTCTCGAACGCTTTCTCACTGTCTGAGAAGATCATTATACGTTATATCTTGACGTATAAATATTCATGCTCGTACCATAATCGACTGTCCATCTTTCACTTTAAATATTAGGGCCGATCCGATCGGTATGGGACACCTTCAAAGTTACTGTGTATACGTACCTGACCGCAAAGGGATCGGCTTTACGAACTCACTGTTCATTGATACACCTACCGGCTATCTGTGTATAGCGGATACGTGCCGCAACCATAGTCCGGCAAGTTGAATGATAGTGAACTTTAGATTTCGTGTGGGCGACCCGCACCAGCGGCTAACTTCGGCCATTAATTCCAGACAGAGTCGCGATCGGAATAACGACACGCGAACACCGATTGCCGATGATATCTGGAAAGTTGAAAAATCGTGAATTCACTGTAGAGCCAATAGCCTGCAGATACAAAATACACGTAGAACGTATAGTGTACATAGAAAATCGTAGGCGTACGTGCATACACCTAAGATCGATATATACATACATAAGATCAGGCGTGAATCTAAGAAGCAGATTTACTTTCCACGCCGATACTTTCATCGTGGCGGGTAATACGAATGGCCCAAATTTTTCTGATAAATAACTGGGTCATTCCAGGCCAATAAACTCAAGTAGATACGAAATTGTTTCAGGTTGAAGAGAGTATCGTTCTCTGAGAAGAGTCGAACCTCAGCTTGCGGCTTCATCAAAAGTATATATATGCGTATATCCACGTCTTTGTTCTTTTTCTCAATCTTCTAATCCCCCCTCTCTCTCTCTCTCTCTCTCTCGTCGTCTTCTCTCTTTCTCGTATCATTGTCATTAGCATCGTCTTTTTCTCAATCTTCTAATCCCCCCTAACCTCAGCTTGCGGCTTCATCAAAAGTATATATATGCGTATATCCACGTCTTTGTTCTTTTTCTCAATCTTCTAATCCCCCCTCTCTCTCTCTCTCTCTCTCTCTCGTCGTCTTCTCTCTTTCTCGTATCATTGTCATTAGCATCGAAGCCACGTGAAACAATCGGCACAATGGCCGCACACCGGCCACTTACCTAGTTTCACTCTCGACGAACAAATAGATCACTGTGTCCGAATACCGACGTGGAAAGTACAGCGCTGGGAGATAATAACAATGTACTCGGCCATAAAGTCATTCGCCACGCGATATATTCATGCCCAGTACCCACGCCACCTGCAAATGGTGATACACGTTACGATGGTACATGAGGAATCATAGTACACTCGGAAGTACAGTAAAACGATTAAAGACATAAAGTAATAACGATTAGTGATTTTATATGAAGCGTCATTTCAGTTTCTAATCAAATTAGAATCCTGTGTTATTTATACTAATTGGATAGAAATTCTTTACCTTCGGGCTAACCGGAAGACTGTCTTTTTATTTCTTGTACATTTATCCCAAGACTGCTGCGTACGATGGACGTTTAACATTGACGGGTAATTAGGATGTCAATGATTATTGGATCTGTGAGACAGGAGGATTCCCTTACGTCCTTGATTTTCATAGTCTAATAGAGATGAGATTAAGACGTTTGAAATAGATGATTAGACGTATATAGATCATTTGAAATTATCATGGTAGGTATATATGTATACGTATATGGCTATGTTCATACTTTACCAAAGTATATTCTTTTCCGTTGGCACGGCCCAGTGACCTGAATAATCTGCGGTTTGCTTATGATCCAACGTCTCAGGCGTGTCTTGGATGCTGGAGCGACGAATCTGAAGCTAATAATGACGTAGAATTTATATCCTATCCTATATGTATATATTGGTAGCACGAATTTATTCATTTCGTTAATGTAAAGGATCATTGGCAAATAATTATCAGCGACTCCATCTAGATTCTCTTACCTTTTTTTTTGTATCTCACTATTTTTCATCCATCTCATGGTGTATCGGTTGTCGATAATTATCCCCGTTATTTTACTAGATTCGCCGATGGCGTATCGATCGCCCAAGACATATTGGAGACGCAATCTAATTAACACACAACAAACTCACCGCCGCGGCGTCTCTCATAGTTTTTATTTCTCTGTTCGTGATCCTCTGTCTTATTTATTGTTCCTCGTAATATATTCACAAGACAGTGTTTATATCGCAGCCTCATCTTACAACAGATCTTTGTGTTACACGTGGCTTTATACACCTACGAGTGATGCTGCCGAGCAGTAACGCTCTTTCGGCGTCTTTCACAGTCGTAAATAATTCTCAGTGACGCTTGAAAGCCCCGTCGCTCGGACGCCTTAATTACCCAGAGAAACGTGGGTTATACCTAAAAGATTATTTATATTATTTTTATTCCGTACCTGCGCGCGTATCAATCAAGCAATTTGAATTTCGTGAACGCACGATACGGTTTTGCTGCGGTTGAATCCATCGGTCACGGTTCAAGAGATTGACCCGAACGATGCGTTGCCATAACTGGATAATTCTCATCTATATATAGAAAAATATCTTTAAGAACGAACCATTCGATTAATCGGTCAGTTTGGGCTTTATGAGAAACGCCAGTACGACTTGGCGTATACCTTAATTGCATCCGCTATAAAAATTGATTAGGGTGATTTTGTCGCTGATGGGGTGTAATTAAATTTCACGCAAAAAATTCTGTTTTCAGGTGTTATCCTGGCTCTGCAAGAAAGGAGAAGACATTCTGTCGAAACAAGCTCAACACACGGCAACTACGCTGACGGCTGCCAGACTGCACGAAAGGGAGTTTGAGAAGTTCTACTTCACCTCCATGGTGAGTACAGCCTTTGATATTATTTATGAGTGTGTTCGTAAAGTGGCTGCTGTGCCAATTATTGTTCCTTGAAAATTATCTCGCTCAGTGAAATGTCTTTAGATCTCCCGAGGCCTATTTTTAAATAATGCGATATAACCTACCTGCGGAGAATATCCAGCAAGTGTAAAAAGACTGAAGGCACTTTCCATTCTCGTATTAATTCTCTTGAGTTTTATCTTTTCACGAGTCATCTTTGACACTCCGGGATAACGTTTTGGTATTCATTCATCTCCATTTGTCATGGAAAGATCATTAACCCGCCGACTCACGAATTCTATTTGAATTTACATAAGACGTAACCGTCTTACGTGACGAGAGTCATTTCGAATTTTTATGCAATACATCCTCGGGACTTTATAAATAATTGCTGTCGCTTCTTAATTAGATATAAACCACTTAGAACGTCAACGTGTAACATCCGTGAAAGTAACCACGTAATCGCGGTAACTGTAAAGTATATTTTAAATGGCAACGACGACTCCTGACTGATGTTGATTCTTACGACAAAGATGTCTGCGAGCGCGAAAGCCATAGATCGGTAACGGTGGACGCCATCACGTGGCGCCATCTATCGTGTCTGGCTCCAAGCTCGTAGTCAATAACACATCGTGCTGTACCTTCACCGACCGAGACGAGCTACGAAGCAAATTGAAGTTGTTTTAAAAGTTTTTTTTTCCTAGTTCTTCGCTAATGACGGCAATTATTCGCGAGACGAATTAAACGTTTAGAAATTCAATCTAGTCTCTCGATAAGGCCGCGATATTCGTTTGCCAAGCTCATCTAGACGCCGTCATTTAAGTTCAGCAATTAAAGTCTAAGTAGTCGATGGGACTATCAGTATACTTACTTGTGCTCAGCCAACCTCCTAACGAAAGCTAGTGAAAACTCGACCTCAAGTGAGTACTCTTGTCTTTCCTTATCGAATCACGTGTTAATGGTTTTCGACATTTCCGCTCAATAAGTGCCTTCGTATCAGTTCCCTGGTAAAGGGGGTGAGTGGGTCAAATACGTCGAATAGAAAATAATAATATTTTACGTATTTCGTAACTGTAAACTCTATTTTACAATTTTGTAATACAGCAAGTAATCACATGACTTAGGTTATTCACATCGAAGGAAACGACGAGCGATATGAAGATATTCCTCAATAAAATTTCATTTCCGCTCTTCGGTTGACTGACCCGGCTCGGTTGTCGCTCGCATGATAAAATTTTATATCGGCGGACGTTAATTAATCAGTAACTCTTCCCGCTTGTCTATCGACGCAGGATGCACTTGGCAGGGTGCATCATTCAGTGTTTACCACCTGAGTCAATTATCCCTAAAGGGACTTCTTCAGGATTCTCAACGACCTATTGACCTCTTTGCGCCACAGCCACGTTTCGGTAATGGCACGTCATTAACTCCCTCGGCAATTACGATTAATAATTTGTACCTGGCGTTTCGAAAATAAGAAACCAAAATGGCCGACGTCAAGCATACCCAAAGCCCATCGTTCAATACCGTTAAGCGGTTACCATTATTATTATTATATTTTCTCGGACGTCAAACTCAAACGATTCGATAAAGTTTACCTGATTATTTTTATCTTTCAAAATTAATTATCGAACGTTACTCTTAATTATCCCGATAACCCTTATCGATCGCATAGACAAAATATCAAATTTTTTTTTCATATTATCAACATACCTTTTATTGTCACGCACGACCATACCTATCGTCAATTCAAATCTTTCGTATACCCATTACAAAATTCTACACGAGCCCTACTCGTCCTTAAGATTAATCTCCAAGGGAATTCATTGTTATTCTTACGGCATAGCGACTCCCCAATGTTACACAACAATTTAAAGTAAAAAATGGCTCCCTCCACAATACACTTTTCTTTTACGACTCCACACGTCCACGGTAAAAATAAACCCCGTGATACGTGACCGTTTGACAATGTGGAATCATAGAACAAGGAAGATACGTCCATAAAGACAGTTTTTCTACCACATAATTCTAAACGAGATTCTATCGTGTTCTCTTAACAAAATATTTAGCAGTCTACGAAATAAAATATATGTGCCACTATTTCAGATTGTGTTATGTTGGCTCAGTCCTCCCCGTGCGCACTGCTTTATCTCACAAAGGGAGGACGCGGACTTGGGGTCACGGATTTGGGAGTCCTTTTGGGGTAGGAAAGTACTTTGTAATAACAAACTGCAGGCCAAGTGGCAGGACGCAACTCGGACCCGTTTTCGAGAAAAACCAGTTTGAAAAACGCAGTACTAGTCATATACCTGCACCGTTGCCAACATTTTCGAGAAGGCGGCGTAGCTCGGTGGTTGAAAAACGCAGTACTACTCATATACCTGCACCGTTGCCAGTATTTTCGAGAAGGCGGCGTAGCTCGGTGGTAGCGCGCCTGATTACCACCCGAGCGGCCAGGGTTCGATTCTCCGATCACACGTATATTTTTTTATATTAATTCTTTTTTTTTTTTGCTACCCGACAAGCCATGTTTATCTATTAACAATTTTGTCAATTTACGTACGAAATGAGTGCATTGGAACACTATTATTTTTCATTATCAGACACTGGTTTACATCACGCATCGTATGTTTGTTTCGAAAATATTTGTACACTGATTGTCAACCCCTGCATACTTTACTGTTTGTAAAACTTTTGTACTTGCTTGTACAAATGTACAGTATGCTGAAATATGCTTGTTTCGCCGCAAAACTAATTGAAGACAGACCTATGTTTTTAAATGTGAACGAAATTAACTTTCCTCTGTCACTATCAAAAGAACATTGCCATTGCAACGAACAAGAAGTTGCATTCATAAAATGTGCATGGTGTGAACATAATTTATGTTTTGCATGCTTCTAAGATACATGCCATCCAAATAAATGTAAAGGCCATACAGAAGCCAGTAGTGATAGCGAATAATAAAAAACGTATGTACACCTAACAATACGCTTTGAATCTTTATAACCTTTTCCAATAAACCAGTGTCCGATAATGAAAAATAATAGTGTTCCAATGCACTCATTTCGTACGTAAATTGACAAAATTGTTAATAGATAAACATGGCTTGTCGGGTAGCAAAAAAAAAAAGAATTAATATAAAAAAATATACGTGTGATCGGAGAATCGAACCCTGGCCGCTCGGGTGGTAATCAGGCGCGCTACCACCGAGCTACGCCGCCTTCTCGAAAATACTGGCAACGGTGCAGGTATATGAGTAGTACTGCGTTTTTCAAACTGGTTTTTCTCGAAAACGGGTCCGAGTTGCGTCCTGCCACTTGGTCTGCAGTTTGTTATTACAAAGTACTTTACTACCCCAAAAGGACTCCTAAATCCGTGATCCCAAGCTCGTGTCCTCCCCTTGTTAGCCTAGATACGTATACACGTGTATATACATATATCTGCAAAAGCTCACGTGGCCATTGATAGAATCTCAACCAAAAAAAATATTCCAAGATAAATTGAACACGAAAAAAAAAATCGTACTTTCTACTCGCGATATTCGTCCGATAATCGCGTATTAATGGTTATCATCCTATAACAAGGTGAGCGTACATAAGAGGCCTCGGTCAATGGATGATAATAATCCGAACGATAATATGCAGCCGCCTGTCGTGAATCACGATCGGCAAACCGTTTCAAAATATAATGGCGAAATCGCAAATTGGCACAAGGCGGTTATGCTCGTTAGTCGCACGCGCTGTGGCTTTCCTTTGCGCTTGGACGTCCCGAGAAAATATGAGGAAAAATTTTGAAATTTCAAATATCGCCGAGCTACGTCTTTTCGAATTCTCGTTACTCATGTATACATGAGGAAAGTATGGGTATATCCATATATATCCTCCATACGGTTCTTATCCACAAACCACCCTTAATACGGACTCACCGTAATCCATAATTCCATAGAATTACATCCCACTTCACGCCCAACTGTTTATTCCTAACCCCACAATAGGATATCCCATGCGCTACTTCCTAGCGCATCTGTTACACAGACCGTCGGCCATCTTTGTTCAACCTGAAAAATTTTCCCTAGGGATTTTCGTGCGACCCCTCAAGGATCCCACGAAAAACACGTTTCGCTTTCTCACGTGATATCCGTTACCCAAGATCAGCTGTTACGTCGAAGAGAATTTATTAAAAGAATTTATTAAAAAATTTTTCTCTCCCTGCTGATTTACGTTAAAATTGCACAATACGACTCGTACACGAGTATCCACGAGCCGTCATGGAAAATTATCGGTCACGTGTCCGTAACTTTTGTTTTTAATTTTTTTTTTCTTTCTTTTCTACTACTACCATGCACTCGTCTTGTGTCCCTCGTTGCATAATGCAACCAGACGCACCCAGCAACGTTGCCTATACATGCGTCTTAAGGAGGAAACCGTAAAACGGCCACGTCCAGTTTTCTTGTAACGGCCCACAATAGTGTCCAGGTCACGTCTAAGCGGAATAAAAGGAGGAACCGCTGGAAGGTCGAGTGTCTCTTTGTGTCGCTCGGACGCCTCTGACCGTCTTGAGGCCGTTCGAGAAGACAGAGTACGTACATTGTTCTGTGACAAGCTATTGGAAAAGTGGGCACAGACAATTCCGTACTTTATTTACCGTTGGGTCATTTTCTCAATTACCTCTTTTCTACCTGCCTGTAGACTTTCGGACGAATAATTTTGCTTAAATATACTGGGGCTTAGTTTATAATTTTTTTTTCCCCTTTTTTTGCAACTACTTTCACCCGTATGTAAATGATGAATTTTATATTGCCGTTTTTTTTTACATGTATATATGTAACATACATGTACGATCAGCTGTGCATAACGGGTAGCCCCTATCTCTTGCGACTGAATGGCGCAACATCTTGGAAAGCCCATATGTGCACGGTATCGATCATGCGATATATTTTATATATATAAAAATTTATTTATATTAAATTTAATTATGTTTTA